TGACGCGGTGTACTCTGAGTGGCAAGCAGATCAGTTCAGCCTACGAGCGACTCGGTCAGCAGTGTTTTCCGAATGACGCCATTTTATCAGATAAAAGCGGCAGTCCATTTTCAGCGGCGAACTTTAAAGTTACCTGTACACTCTGTCTTTCTCAGTTTTCTTCCTGTGATATAAAGGCGCTGTTTGACCACAGCACGGAACATATGGAAAAGAAGCATTACAAATGTGGCTTGTGCGATTTTCTTCACGAAGACAAGTCGAAGGTGAAAGAGCACTGCCGAACGGAGCACTCCGACGATGCAGCTCACAAAATAGTCATTAGTAGCCCTGACCCTGACCAGGACCGCAATTACTGGAAGGAGTTATGCTTTCCGGACGTGCCAAACATGGTGGTTGATGTGCAGGATTCCGGCGGCATGGTCGAGACCGAAGACATCGACGAGCTTGACGAGGAGGAGGTTGAAGAAGAGAACAATACAAGCAACGGTAAACGTCGAGCGACAAACACTCGGATGGTCTATGTAGAGGGTCCAAGGTTTGACGTGACTACTGATTTTCAAAAATTGTCATGCTAACTTCTTCCTTTGTAGGTACATCTGTCAGCTGTGCAAATGTCCCGTGTCCATGTACGCCAGTTCTCTGTATGTTCACGTGAAAAATCACATGAACTACAAACCGTGAGTTTCGAAATTTATTCCTTTCCGTTCTAGTGACATTTACTTTTCTGGGAAGATGTTTTTTTGCGGTATATGAGGAGCGCGTCTTCGTCGGAAACTCATGTCGAGTTCGGTACTGATTGATTCAGATTCCGAGGTTTTATCAGGGGCCAGTAAATAAGCCACTGAGGAGCAATATGTGTATAAGTAATTGACATCGTGGGTTCATGCATGACTTAGATTTGGCGCAAGACCAACTTTTCGGCTGATGTTGTCAGCCTTTGCCAACTGCAAACGGTATACAGTGGAACGGTCATACAAGATTGTCAACTTAATCAGATTTTACTGTTTCTTTTTATCAGGAGTTTACATAAGTT